GTTCCACGGACTGGTGCAGAGTACTAAAATAAAAGCACAGATTTCTAAAATAAAAGTATATGTATTAAAATTAACTAAATTAAACCTTAAATGGAGAAGACAAGTGTTTTTCATTGCTCCTAAATTCAACCAAAAACACGTATTCATACTGTACGCACACTAACATCTCCACTGATCTTACCTGTAACTTCTCTGTTACCATGGCAATAGATATGCTTAATGGGTTGTGGGTCCGTCACCTGCTTGTTTCTATGGATATGTTGTTGCCCTGCCTGGAATGTTCCACAGTATGACATTAGGCAGCTCTACCTTACAGGTGGTTTTATAGCGCCAAAATACCTAAAAACAAAACAAAAACAAACCAAAAAACAAACACAGATCTGACTTGTAACTTGGTCTGGTTTGGTCTCCATGAAGATAGAAAGGTTTAACACCATACACTGAAAAAAAAAAAGAACATGGAAAGTGGTTGCATATAATAAAAATATGTTGATGAAATGTGATCAAATTGTGCTGAATACGCATATTTATCTTATGTTACCTTATCATGAAAATGTGCCTTTTTTATGTTTTTATTTTTATGTATAATTTAATTATGTCTACACAATTATTTTAACATGCAGCATCAAATGTCCTTAAAGGGTTTTAAAGTAAAAATACAAAAACTGTTTTTAGTTTTCCTCAGTTTTGTATTGTCTTCAACAGAATCAGAGCACAGGTACAGTGAAAAACAGTTTATTTGGAGCTGAGAACTTCATTCACTCCACACTCGGTGGTGGTAAGATATTATTACTACTACTTTTCCAGTGAAGTAGCTTTGGTCTCTGCCTGTGGAAACAGGAATAACACATGATTCCATTATGATGATCTATTTTGTGTTGTACATGTTAAAATGTAGTTGCAGCACCTTTTATTATTTTATAGTTGAAGCACCTTTTATTATCTAATACCAGAACAGAACCATAGTGAACATTAGATTTGTACATACAGAAACAATACTCACCTCATGTGCTACTTTTCTTCCACAAAATGCAAAAACAGGTAGGGCATCTGGTTTAAAGTCCTCCTACTGCCACACAGAACATGAGAATTGTTCACTAGGAACTATATTCTGAAAAAATAAAATTCTCTTAAAATCATTTTAGTCAGTTTTCTTACTTTGTTCATCCCTGGTCTGTTTTGTTTTGTTCTCAAACATATTCCTTTTTCTGAAAGATACAGAGATTTTAATTTTTTTTACTTTTTATTTTAACTGTTAAAAGCACTTTCAGAATAGTGCAACAAAACAAAAAAACAAACAAACAAACAAAACAAAAAAAACAACAACAACTAAATAACATCAACTATAACATTCATGAACTTACCCACAGCTACAGCAGCACAGTGTACTCTAAAACATTCCAGTCTAGGGGCGTGCAAAAATTTTGAAATATCGATATATCGTATCATTAAATGTGATGATACAGTATCGATATCGTGGGCTGCTGTCTCGATATTAAGGTTTTACATCTACGTCACAAAACCACGTGACCTGGTGCCATATTGGAGGTCAAACTATCCATCTGGACGAACGTAGTATTTGTGTGCGATAAAATTTGAATTGAATAATAACAATGGTTTTGACCATTTTTGACCTCGATCCGATCTCCATATCTTTGGGCTGATCTAACGAGCTGGTGATTTCGGACAGTTTTATGTTGTTTAAAGTCGCCATGATTATATTGAAATAAACTGAATAATCCCAGTGTTCACCTCCAGTATGGCTGCCAAACTTTAAATCACGTGACTGTCTTGTCACATGCAAAACCTTAATATCACCAAGAGTATTTTTTGGTATATTTTACTAAATTATTTTGTTACAGCACTACAGTTTTGTTGCTTGTTTAGAGGAAGGAAACTTGTTTATGAGACACATTATTTTTATTTAACTGTATCGAATTGATTTTAAATATATCGTATTGAATCGTAAGTGCGCTGTATCGATATGTATTGTATCGTGGCCTGTGTATCGAGGTGTGTATCGCAACTTCTTAATGATACCCAGCCTTGGAGACAAGCTTGTTGTGGACCATCCATACAAGAGTTACACAGTGGAGCTTTAAATCCAGCCCATGCAGTGAATACTAAATTATACTAAAGTCATTTTTAAAGCTCTCTTCTATGTCAGTGTCAATATTTGCTTAATGTGTGTTGTGTCCTTGGCATTTGAACCTTCCATTATCGCGCAGGGGGAGCCGTCGGGAGCAGTGGGCGACTACGGAAACATTTCTATAGTTCTTGAGTTACAAGTTCACGGTCATTGTACTTCAGTGAATACTACTTTACATGTTTTTGTTGATGAAGAAAGAAAAAGCAAAGAAAAGCATTCAGTTCTTCCTGAACATTTTAGCTGAAGGCTTTGCTGCGATACTATAAATGTACTCCAGAATCGCATGCAATAATATTTTTACTATAATTCCAGTTTTGGCCGAGTAATTGTATTAGTATGCATGAGTTAGTGTTTGTTGACGATGGGTTTCAAGTGTGGGTCGATGGTGCATGTTGCCAGCTACACTTTATTTTTATTTATTTATTTATTTATTTATTTAATAGGGATGGTGCATATTAATGAACATCTACAAAATTGCAGTGTAAATATGGCAGATTAACAGAAAAAAACCCAAACAATCACAAGTGACAAGTGACAGTTATACAGTAAAAGTGTCCACAAGTTTAGCTGTTTTTTCTTTAGCCGCTGTTTCAAGTGGGATTTGGAAGTGTCCAGTGTTGGAGTCTCTCTTACTGATAATGGGAGAATGTTCCAGAACTTTCACTGAGGTTATGTTTACACTGAAACGAATCACTGTATCAGCTTATTGGAAACGATCTGCGTCCAGACACGTCGTTTCTGCGTCCGCAATCCTTCCCTGTCCACACAGCTTTGAGCATATTTGTTTACATTTTACAGAAATGAAACTTAAAACCGCATGGCTCATTTGCATAAACTGAGCGCTCAAAAAAAAAAAAAACTGCTCGCTATTGTGCGCTGAAGCTTGTCTGATTAAAAAGGACACGACTCAGTGGAATATGAGTGTTCTTTCTGTGACAGAGGGGTGTTCTGCTGATGGTGAGTCTGTTTTGTGTTTCTGTTGCCTGGAATGTTCCACCGTATGGCATTAAATTTACCTATCTTGCATATGTTCACTCACAGATGTTCTACATGTATCTGTGGTTATGTTTACATTGAAACTAATCACTGTATCACCGTATCACTGTAACAGAAAAATTATTTGCGTCCAGACACGTCGTTTCTGTGTCCGCAATCCTTCCCTGTCCACACAGCTTTGAGCATATTTGTTTACATTTTACAGAAATGAAACTTAAAACCGCATGGCTCATTTGCATAAACTGAGCGCTCAAAAAAAAAAACAGCTCGCTATTGTGCGCTGAAGCTTGTCTGATTAAAAAGGACACGACTCAGTGGAATGTGAGTGTTCTTTCTGTGACAGAGGGGTGTTCTGCTGATGGTGAGTCTGTTCTGTGTTTCTGTCGCGTTGGAGACGGTTCATGTTAAACTTTTCAGAGATTATACGTCTGTAGGTCATACGCACAGACCATTTATATGAATGGACATATATTCTAGCCTCCTAGTGTTTTGGCGGTGAATTGCTTCGCAGTGCTTAGAGCTACGTCAGAGATCAACGTTTTCAGGCGTCCACACAGTGTCGTATCAGATCAGTACTCAAATGAATTCGTGGGAGCTGGTGGCACTAGATCGTTCCGTCTCTGGAGCCATTTTCCATCGGATTAGTGTAGATGAACACTGCATCCACCACGAAAACGACTCAAATATGAAATATGTACTAGTGCAGATGGGGCCTGAAACACACTTTTATCCAAATGTGGTTCGTCTGAGTGGAGCCTCACAGTTCCTCCGGGCTGTGACCCTAGTTCCCATCCCAGTCTTTGTTTTAATAAACTCCTGTAACAGAGTGGGGGCAAGTCCATACAAAACTTGATATACAAAACATCCACATTTAAAATCAACAAAATTATTAAAATTGAGCAAGTTGTATTCATCTAAAACAGTGCAATGGTGAACTGAAAATGGTTTCTTGTCCAATATTTTTACTTTTTAAAAAGTGTGTGAAGAATCCCTCAGTCGTCCAGGTAGAATCCATGGCGAGGAGAAAAATCAGTTTGTCGACTTGACAAAAGTTAGTTTGGAAACTAACTAACTTTTGTCCAGTCGACAAACAGATTTTTCTCCTTGCTTTTTAAAAAGTGATTCGACTGGTTTGAGTGTTGTGCCAGCACCGGGAGAAAACACACACTTCAGCTGCTACCGGCTTTTTTGTCATCTCGGTTTGTTGTTACGCCACGGACACAAACATGATCCAAATTTTTTCCGCACTTGTTCTGAAGAAAATGAAGCAGCAGCTGGAGAATTCTCTCATCACGCTTTACGTCTGTCGGCTGAGGAGGAGAAGAGAAGAGTGTCGGAGAAGAGAGGAAGAAGACAAACTGAGTCGACGGCTGCTCTACCTCAGCCCACTCCCGCATCCCGCTCACAAATCCAAAGAGACGTGGATGAAAGTCCGAAGTGAGGCCTGGTGGAGCCGGATCGTCCCAATCACGTCAGAAGGGCGACCCAACAAGAATACACTAAACGACCTGGATTATTTTTAAGAAGAATAAACTTTTACATGATCAAGGAATATATTAATTTGGCTTTAAAATCTGAATAAACCACCCACTTACTTCGGAATAAAGTTTAATTCCGACTAATCATTTTCATTAGGAATTAAGTGTTTATATTGTCTTTTTAAAGCGGAATTAATGTTTATTCAGAATTTAATCATGTTTATTTGTAATTAAAGCTCTCATATAAACTGTTTTGTGTGTGCTACCTCAATTTTTTTTTTTTTTATATTACAAACGGAAAAGCAATGTTCTTTTTCCCTCAATGAAATGTTTCGATGAGACAGAAGCTCTACATTCGACTCTCTTTTCTGTTCCAGAGCGCAGAGACCAGCCCGGCCAGCAGCCTCCAGTCTCTACCCATCAGCCCCTGCAGCGAGAAGTCCCTCCCCTTTAAGGTAAACCGCACGTCGCTCAAGCTGCGTCTGCAATTAAAGTTCCGCATTGGAGCTTTAGTTTAATCAGAGCAGCGGCGAGGTAACACTTATCCTGCTGGAGATATCGCCTTTTTCTCTCTCTCGCTCTCTCTCTGTCACCTCCAGTTTTTAGCCTTATGAGAACAATAAAATGGCTTTTCAGTATCCGGGCTTAATGAAGAAGAGGAGGAAGAGGAAGAGGAGAGGGGGAGGGGTAGAGAAAGAGAGAGAGAGAGAGAGGAAAAGGAGGAGGAAAAGACTGAGAGAGGGAGAGGAGGAGGTAAGGAAACAAAGAGAGAGAGGAAGAGGAGAAGAAGGGGGAGACAGAGGAGAAGGAGAAGAGGATAGGGGGAGAGGAGGACAGAGGAAAAGGAGAGGGGGAGAGAGGGAGAAAAGGAGGAGGAGAGGAGGAGAAAGCGAAAGAAAGCAGGAGGAGAGAACTGAGAGAGGGAGAGGAGGAAAAGGGAGGAGGGGGAGACTGAAAGAGGGAGAGGAGGAGAGGCGGAAGGGCAGATGAGGAAGAGGAGAGGGGGAGGGGGAGAGAGAGGAGGAGGAGGAGAAGAGGATGGGAGAGGAGGAGAGAGGAAAAGGAGACGAGGAGACAGGGAAAGAAAGAAGGAGGAGGGGAGATTGAGAGAGGGAGAGAAGTAGAGGGGATGGAGAGAGAGAGGAAAGGGGGAGTAGGAGACAGAGAAAGAGAGAGGAAGAGGGGAGAGAGGCAGAGGAAGAGGCCGAGAGAGGGAGAGAGAGGAAGAGAGAGGAGGAGATGGGGAGAGGAAAAGGAGAGGAGGAGAGAGGGACAAAAGGAGGAGGAGATAAGGAACAACAGAGGAGCGGGAGGAGTAGACTGAGAGAGGGAGAGGGGAAGAAGGAGAAGAGGATGGGGAAGAGGAGGAGAGAGGGAGAAAATGAGGAGGAGACAGGGAAGAAGAGGAGGAGGAGGAGGAGGAGAAGAGGATAGGGGAAGATGAGGAGAGGGGAAGGTGAGGGAGAGGGAGAAAAGGAGGAGGAAAGGAGAGAAGGAGACTGAGAGAGGGAAAGGCAGAGAGGGGAGAGGAGGAGGAGGAGGAGAGGGGAGAGAGGAAAAGTGGAGGAGAGAGGAAAAGAGAGAGAGGAGGAGAAAGACTCAGAGAGAGAGAGGAGAAGAGAGGGAGGGGCAGAGGAGGAGAGTATGGGGGAGAGGAGGAAAGCGGAAAGGGGGAGTAGGAGACAGAGAAAGAGAGAGGAAGAGGGGAGAAAGGCAGAGGAAGAGGAAGAGAGAGGAGGAGATGGGGAGAGGAAAAGGAGAGGAGGAGAGAGGGACAAAAGGAGGAGGAACTAAGGAACAACAGAGGAGCGGGAGGAGTAGACTGAGAGGGAGAGTGGAAGAAGGGGAAGAGGAGGAGAAAGAAAGGCAGAGGAGGAGAGAGTGAGAAAAGGAGGAGGAGATAGGGAAAGAGAGGAGGAGGAGGAGAAGAGGATAGGGGAAGAGGAGGAGAGGGAAAGGAGAGGAGAGAAAGGGAGAAAAGGAGGAGGAGAGGAGAGAAGGAGACAGAGAGGGAAAGGCAGAGAGGGGAGAGAGGTGGAGGAGAGAGGAAAGAGAGAGGAGGAGGAGAAAGACTCAGGGAGGGGCAGAGGAGGAGAGTATAAGGGGAGAGAGGAGGTGAGAGTGAAAGAGAGAGGAGGAGAAGAAGATAATGGGGAGAGGAGGAGAGAGGAAGAAAAGGTGGAAGAGACAGGGAAGAGAGAGGAGGAGAAGGAGAAGACAGAGGGGGAGAAAGAGGAAAAGGAGAGGGGTAGACGGGGAGAAGACTGGGAGAATAGGAGAGGGGGAGGGGATGGGAGAAGCGGATGAAGAGGCAGGAGGAAAGCGGGGATAAAATGTTTGAAGGGAGAGGGCAAATTGAATGAAAGGGGGGTTAGTTCTGACAGGCCCTCGCCGCAGCCTCGTCCATCAGAGCTGCGAGATCAAGAGCCCAGTTATCCCTGTGTGTGTGTGTGTGTGTGTGTCTGTGTGTGTGTGTGCGTGTGTGTGTGTGTCCAACCTCGTAACATGTCTACTCTCATTACAAAGCAGGGGTCGTTGTTAAACTCTCCTCTCTAAATGTATTATTATTAGTTTGTACGACCATGAACGGAAAAAAAACTGGCATCTTAAAAAAAAAAAATTAAGATCAGAACTAAAAAAAAAGTGATTGTATTTCTGTTAGAAGGGTTAATATATGGAACAATCTGAGTATAAAGCTTTATGTTTTGAAAGATATAGAGCTCCGAAATGAATGAATTACCGTGTTTTTTGGATTGTAAGTGGCTCCGGAGTATAAGTCGCACCGGCCAAAAAATGCATAACGAAGAAGAAAAAAAAAAACATATATAAGTCGCACTTTTTGGAGGAAATTTATTTTAGAAAATCAGAGACCAGGAACAGACATTTCATCTTAAGAGGCAAGTTAGAGTAAAAACAACAGAACGGAGAACAGACTGTTAACGTCACATATGAACAGTTCTTCAGATAAATATAACATAAACAACAGAACAGAACAAGTTTAACAAATTCTCCATCTCACTCCAAATCACTAAATCCATTCAATTCACTTCTGAACAACTCCGCGAAGCTCCCCAGGTAAACAGAGCGCCTCTTCCTCTTCTGTGTCGCTGTCGTCAGACTCGGCATCAGTTCTTATTCCGGCCTTTCTGAATCCCGACAGGATGGTTTCGGTGTCACTCAAGTCCAGGCTTTGTCCATCCGTCCAGTGACTTCCAGGAATGTTTCATGGTGCATCCTCCCGGTTGCCGTGGAGCTGTGTTCTCCATCCCCGCTTTCCGCCAGTCCCTCACAAGTTTCTCGCTCACTCCAAACTTTCTTTCTGCTGCTCGATTACTGTTTTCGGCTGAAGATTTCACTATTTGCAGCAGGACAGCGGCTTTTTCTGCAGGAGACATGCGCAGAAAACTGACACACGAGCCTACAGCGCCCTCTTGCGACTGTCAGGGTGAAAGTTTTAATATATAAGTCGCACCGGAGTATAAGTCGCAGGACCAACCAAGCCATGAATAAAAAGTGCAACTTATAGTCCAAAAAATACTGTATGCATTACATTTAGTTTGTTTTAATTTATATTTTGTCTCTTATATATACAGTAAGTCATAAATGAAATTGAAAACACAAACTTGCTTTTCACACGCTGCTTACATTCTTGAAATTCTGTCATTGTTTATTAAAGTTAGGCTTTATAAGTACTTTTTACTTCAGCCTAAAGCCTTTCGGTCAAGATCCATGGAGCTGTAGTCTATGTTTTGTTTTGTAGTGCTGCAAAATAATCGAATAAAAAGCTACTACTACTAATGTGGATGAACGAGTAAACAAAAATAAAGGTACTTTGCATCTGATGTCAACAAAACTCCCTGGGGTTAACTGTAAGCACTCCTCTGTCTGATACGGAAGCCGAGAGGGGTCACAACAAACGCAAACGCCGCAACAAATACAAATGCGACAACACGATAAAAAGCCACAACAAACCCAAAAAAAAAGCCACAACGGAAATGACCGCGGGACTCTATTTTCCAACGGACCGATCAAGCGGCAAGTGAAGAAGAAGAACTACAACGTGAAAAGTAAAGGAACAGAGAAGTTGGAAACGTAAGCAGAAGTTTTGTTTTAAGTATTGTTTTATCATTATTCGTTTCACGTTGTAGTTCTTCTTCTTCACTTGCCGTTTGATCGGTCCGTCGGAAAATAGAGTAACGCGGTCACTTCTGTTGCGGCTTTTTAATGTGTTGCGGCATTTGCGTTTGTGTGTTGCGGCGTTTATATTTGTTGCAGCGTTTGCATTAAAATAGAATCCTGCGGTCATTTCCGTTGTGGCTTTTTTTGGTGTGTTGTGGCTTTTTGTCGTGTTGTCGCATTTGTATTTGTTGCGGCGTTTGCGTTTGTTGTCACCCCTCTCGGCTTCCTTAAAAAACACCCCTCCAACTTTGATTTCTGACTGGTATTAAACCAAATTTCTGTTAACAGTTTTAAGCAGGATTCCTATAAATTTTAAAGGAGAAGTAGAGAGAAGTTTGCTGATTGCCTCCCACAATATAAAGAAGATTTAGGTGTGTAAAACTTTCAATGTTCGTGCGCAACAATCGGTCAGGACCAAGCCCAGGGTTTCAAAATGTCCGTCTATTCAAGTCAATGGGTTGAGCTCAATGGCGCATGACTCCAAATTGCCTTAGCCCGGCGAGGTATTTCCGGTGGCTCTGGGTCGATCGAGCATGCGCAGTAGTATATCACGTGACTGCTTTGACCGATCAGAGTGGGAGGAGCCAGAGCGGAGCTGGAGCTAACGATTATAAAGTGTTTTTTAAGACAACGGAAGGGTTTTGAGCTGAGGAAAAAGTTTATGATCTAAAAAAAAGGTAAAAATCGCCTACAAAATCCGACATTTTTGAAAGTTGTAGGTGCTCCGTCAGCCGAACACGAGCAGTTTGTGATTACATTGCCTCTATGAGAAAAATCCTGTCTCAGCCCAGGGGATTTTTTCCGCTGAAGTACCAGTGAGTGTCACTACGTCATCTGGAGGCAACTACAAGCAGCAACACCCTCCATTTATTTTAATAGATCCATGGTAATTTATTGTGTTATCATTATTCGTTTCACGTTGTAGTTCTTCTTCTTCACTTGCCGCTTGATCGGTTTGTAGGAAAATAGTCCCGTGATCATTTCTGTTGTGTTTTTTTGTTTTGTTTGTTGTGGCTTTTTGTTGTGTTGTCGCATTTGTATTTGTTGCGGCGTTTGCGTTTGTTGTGACCCCTCTCGGCTTCCGTGGTCTGAAGCTCTGTTAGATTTTAACCTGAGCTTTATTTTAACACAATGGGCTGACTTGGCTGGAGCTACGACAGGAGGGATGATTTGTTCTCTTAAACAAGTCTCTCACACATAACCCTAAAATTACAGTCACAAATCAAACACATAAACAGCACCGTGAACGCTCGTATTGATCACGGGCTCCTGAAAA